CCGTGCCTATGCCTATGCCAAATTTTTGTGCCCATGTCCATGCCCATGCCTGAGTCTTCGTGCCTATGCCCATGCCCGAAATTTTGTTGGGCACGGGCACGAGCCCGGTTTGCAGACCCCTAATCCAAATGTTCATTCACTACAGCCAGTGCCACATTTAATGGTAGCATTTGTGGTTTTGTGGGTTTCAGTCAAGATGAATACTGCGATACTCATCTCATTGGTCTTTTCACGGATGGACTCATAGATCCTCCATATCGATTTTACATTAAAGATCCATGTGGGAACATTATTAGAAATACCACTAATGATTTGAATATTGAATATGCTGGTAAAGGATCTAAACCTTTCAGTGCAAAGATTAATAACCTCAGCCTTGATTGTGATAAAAATGGAATTTTATTAGGCAATTGCAATGGCCAATATCAGTTAAAAAAGCGTCAATCTGGTACTGCTACGATGTCAATCGATTCACTTAATGGTGAAGATTTAGGCATTTACGAGTTTTAAAATTTTAGCAAGATAACACATTTCTTTTAATTTTTTATCAATAGCATTCTTAATAATCGTGCTCAATTTTGTATTTATATGTTTATTATCTTGAAATTTTTAAAATTAAATAAAATTTTTGTATACCTACCTATTAATACAAGAAATACCTTTCAATTCGATATATTTATCATTAAACGAATTTTTTAAAAATTAAGATAATTATTGAATTCTTTTTAATTAGTAATCTTTTCTTGTATTGAATAAATAGTCAATGTTCAGAAATATGTCACAAGAAATTTTTGAAGTTTTTTAATTAAATCCAGTTATGTATTTTGATTACAAATTTAAATTTAGTTGCGAGCGGGTTTGCCACCCAAATAGATATAGAGGAAGTATCATTGCTAGGGTGGTTGGCAAGTTGGAAACTTCAGCAAGGCAACAATGGCAAGGTATGGCGGGCGAAGAGTGATGATTTGGTAAGATGCCGATGTAATAGTATCTGATTGGCTAGCCTTATAAACTCATAATTTTGATTAAAAAATTATTGTAGATAAATTAATAGAATTTTTATGCTTTATAATTAGTTTATTACAGTTTTTGAATTACAAATCAAACTCGTTATAGTGAAGTCATCGGGCTGAGGAAAAAAATCTTCTCTATAACTTATATCGAGAGAATACTATATGTACTTATATCGAACTGAATTTTAATAATTCTGGAATTCAAAATTCTTCACTATATTGAATCTTCACTATAACGAGAGTTCACTATAACGAGTTTGACTTGTAATGTGATTATTGAATTTTATGAATCCTATGATTCTTGTATATTATCATTGTAAGAATAATGCTGCAGTAATATACAAGATTCATAAGATTCATAAAATTATAATCGATTAATTTAAAAATAGCAATACAAGTCAAACTCGTTATAGTGAACTCTCGTTATAGCGAAGATTCAATATAGTGAAAAATTTTGAATTCCAGAATTATTAAAATTCAGTTCGATATAGTGAAGTACATATAGTATTCTCCCGATATAAGTTATAGTGAAGATTTTTTTCCTCAGCCTGATGACTTCACTATAACGAGTTTGACTTGTAATACGTATACTATTAATATAATAAAGCATATAAGATTCAAAATTTTTCTGTGAATATATTTAAAAAAAAGCTTAAACCTAATTTTTAAAAAATAATATACATATACCAGGTGGGTGAAAAGTTTCTGGACAGTAGCCTTTTTTACTATCTTCGCAAATATTAAAAAATTTTTATAATATATATATTGGCATATATAGATTATAAAAACTTTTAATATTAGAAGAGAAAATAAAAAGGCCGCCGTCCAGGAACTTTCACCAACCAATATAAAACTAAGTATAAAAAGCTTGCCACCTTGCCAACCACCCTAGTCGTTACTAAAGCTGTTAAGTGGCCGACTCAAACCGATGGACCCGCCGGTCCTATCTTTTTTGGGACGGGCCGAAAGGACCGTCGGTCCTAATATCAATTATTAATAAATTATTGTTATAGATAATTATATAAAATAAACTAGTGCGACGGGTAGTGCGAAAATCCACCCATCTTATATAGAAATTTATAGTTATTTGATATATACTGGTGCGATAGGTGGCGCTTCGCGCCACCTATCTTATACAGAGTTTAACAACTATTTTATCGTAGTACTAGAATTACCTTGATTGCTATTTATTTTAAAATTATATTATGGAATTTACTTGCTAATACAACTGACACACTGGTTAAGACTCAGTTTGTTTGTAATAATTTCTATAATTACAGTAAAATTTTCTGTAATTAATCTTGTTACCGGTGACCGCAGTATGTGGCTAAATATTAACCAGAGTAATAGCTGCCGCAACAATTTGGACCGGCAGATTCTCGATTTCGATTGGCTAAGAGCGACGATCAAAAGATTAAGTCGGAATTACTCATAATTTTACTAATGAAATCATAGCCACCCATTAAGTGAAAATTGTTCTTGGGCCAATTTTTCCATAATGCAGGCATATTTTTTTAAGAATTTCTATTTTTGTAATGAAAAAATTAAAAAGCTAATTCCGGCCGGAAATTAGTAGCCAATTTTGTATTGTGGGCCAAAATTTTGAAGATCCTCGGCCGTTAGCCAATCAAAATCGAGGTCCAAATTTGTTGCGGCAGCTATGGTTAGTTGGCTAAATCATTATTTTTACAGTGTTACTGTAAAAAATTCCGTTACAAAGCTATTTCAGTAGTAGTTGAGATTGAGATAGATTGTTTGTTTGAAAATTCCACAGTATATATGGGCTGCCATCAGTAGAAATCAAGCAGATTGACATTTAAAAAAATTAATCCCTTATAATTTATATCTCGATGATTTTTGAGGTTATCTTGATGAATTAATATTCAAAAGAAAGCTTAAGATCTAGACTTTCTTTTGAATATTAATTTATCTAGATAGCCTCGAAATTCATCGAGGTATAAGTTGTGAAAATTAAGATATTAATTTTTTTAAAAAATGTCAATCTGCTTGATTTATATTGATGGCAGCCCATATGATTAATTCGCATCAGAATCATCTTGATCTCTGTGTAATTAAGGTGAGTAATATTTATATTTGGGATTTCTACTACAAATGATCGTGGTTATAGTTGTGTTAGTTGCACTGGAATTATTGTTGATAGGGATTCCGTTATTGAGCACACTTACTTCTATGGAGACCATATTATGTGGTTAAGATTGGGTTAGTTTGCATTGGAATTATAACCTAATAAATTTTGTCACAGAAATTACTCTCTAATGCGGAACGCATAGTTATTAAAATTTGAATAACTTCTACTGGAAAGATCTTTGCAAAAATTGCTCGATATCCTCATAACCATAGTTTGTGTAGTTAAAATTAAGTTAGTTTGCAACCAAATTGTTATGATTCCTATGTGATTAAGTTGCATTAGAATTATAATTGTAAAAAATTCTATCATCGAACTCACTCGCTATTATGACTACTACAATGTACAGCTAAAATTACCATGATTTTATGTTGTTAATACTGAGTTAGTTTGTGTTAGAATTATTACAGTTATAGAAATTACTATAAAAAATTCATAGAACTTACTCGCTACTCTGGTAATTACAGTAATGTGATTACAAACTTGCTATTCCAACGTTACACGGCATGTGGTTAAGTTTGAATTGGTTTTATTTGATAAATGGCAATTTTTAAAATGAGTACTGCAAAGCAAAACCTGGAATTAATTTTATATTAATTATATGAAATCTTTTTGTAGTATTAAAGGATCAGGTTTTCGCTTTTCATCGCTCAAATAACGAACGACAATTGAATTAAGATAATACGTATCATGCATGGGACTATAAAGTATATCGAAATGTCGCATTACAAATTTGACGAATGATCATGAGCATGCGTAATAGTTACTCTCTATAGTTTTGAGTTTTCTCACGTTTATTTATTTATGCAACCATACATGCGCAAGTTATATGTACGTGCAATTATATCACAGTAATAATAGTATTCTATAAAATTAACACATTCTATAAATGAATAAATGAAAATCTTATTTCTATCAAAGTGATCGGGATTATTCTGTTAACCATTGCTCCGTGCGTCCAGCCTTAATAAAATGATAACATTTTTATTTACAATCATTTCCACTCTGCACCAGATATAGGTATGATACGTACAAATATAATTTATATGAATTATAATCATGGAATATTCTCACCATACGATCATGATGTAATGATTACATACTGTATCATCAAATTTTCGCACAATGTACATATCTACTAAAATAGGGGAAAATATAATAATCATAATACCTTCTAAATCAGAAAAAATATAGAGTTGAACGGAACCATCCTTCCACATTTCATGTGATCGTACTGGTATAACTATTTTGTTGGAGTTGTCTAGCATTTTCTAAATTAAGCATATTCATCCGTTCCTGGTTTAGCGCGACAATTTCGCGCAGCTACTTATTTATAATTAACTTCTTTATAGTGAGCTCTGGGCGTACGACCTATAAAGTTTTGATTTTATCTTATTGAGTTGAGAAAGTGATTTTCATTTTCTATTTGTACAATTTATTTCAAGTTTTATGTTTATTTTAAATCTGTTCGGGATTATTATTTCATAATAAGATTGCTTTTAGAATATGTTTAACTATTTATTCTGGTTTTGCCACTTAGAAAACGATTAAGAAAATTTCCCTTAAAAATAATCTTAATATTTAAATAATAATAATAATAATAATAATAATAATAATAATAATAATAATAATAATAATAATAATAATAATAATAAT